TACGGTTAAACACAGTACAAGAACAAAAAAAGTCACACCATTTAATATAATAGAATATTAGAACACTTCAAAGTTAGTTGAAAGAGATATTTTGGTTTGACCCTGGAAGTCCAGTTGCCTTTCCTATGTGAATAACACCTGTTATTCGTGACAGCATTATCACTACATGATACATGATATACATGTATACTATTATTCACCTTAATATTTTCCTACTAGTAGCACCAATAGCAACAATCTGATACCTGAAGGGATGGGGCAGGATGCCTGAGATTGTGGTCCCTTTCCATTTCATGCTTCTATTTAATAGGGTTTTTTGGGGGGTGGGGGTGGGTGGGGGCTTTTCTAGAGGCATTTCACTGTTAAGGGGAGAGGGAATGATAAGAGTGAAGAATTTATCGAAATGTAATGTTTGTATCCCAATTTGTAAGTCTTAGCAGCAATTCCTCCATAGAACCAATGGTGAAAGCAGATGGGAATTCTATTTCAACACTGTTTAGGTAGCCTTAGATTTCTGACTCCATTTAAAAATGAGTGCAAAGCAGTTAGAGTTGTCTCAGGTTTCTTCATGTAATCTGGGCACTGTGAGTGATAAGGTGACAACAGTTGGCTGTTTCTCAATGGAACAATAGGATCAAATCTCACTGAACTGTAGAAGGGGATATGATACAACTGACATTTGTTTTGGCTTTTAGGGACATAGTGGATTATAAGCAAATAATGACATTCGAAGTTTGCCCTTCTAGCTTAGAGAAGAAGCACAGCAAAATGTGGAGAGGGAAATGTGATAACAAAATGCATTAGGGCAATGGAGTTTACAGGTACAGTCTTTGGAATTTGTGCAACATAAAGGTTTAATAATACATGCATAAATATTTTCCCATGATCACAAATGATGGACTCAATGTAAAGTGTCCAAATCTTCATTGATCCCAGTGAGTGAATCTCAATGTGGTTTAGATGGATCACAAGATCTAAACTTCCTTATCTAAAGGTTTCACTTAATGAAGCAAATTGTATGTCACTGGTTTGTGGGTCCATATAGATGGGAGAAAATGCATGGCTGAAATACTTCACACTATAACATATAAAATCCTTCAATAGTGGTTACCTGTTCTTGAGCAATTCTTCCAACACAACCAGCATCTGATTCCTTTCCTTTCTTTTCCTTTCCTTTCCTTTCCTTTTTCTTTCTGTCCTGTCCTGTCCCATCCCTTCCCATCTCTTTTCTGTCAACCCAGCTGTGTCTCTTCTGTAAGGATTTCCTAGATTCATAAAGTATATTTGCTATTACAGAACTCAAAAATTAGTTAGCACTAATTTTTAATCTACTGATACAAAATCCATTTCTGAGATTCAATTCCATTTGCTAAAAAAGCCAAAGTTTTGTTTTCTTGTTGACATGCCAAAGCCTCAAAGAATATAATCACAGCAGAATTCCATGTCATAATCAGGTTAGTTATTTACATTTGTTAGGCTATATTTAGACTGGTTATTTATCATAAATGAAGACATAGAGAATTTTGCTTAAGATGTGCTTGATTGTAGCAACTGAGGCAGAAGCCTTGGCCTCCTAATATATGAAAGGAAAACAATTTCCAAGCACTTCTGGTTCTCTCTAAATTTTCTCTGCCTTTCCCCAACTTTTTCTCTTCTCCCTTAGTAGGGGAAAAAAAGAAATAACATGCTTTTGAGGGTTTTTACAAACTACTGAAGACATAATTTCTGCTGTCTTTTTTGACCATTAGAATTAGAGATTACTCACTAACAGTGATATTGTTTAAGCTGAGTCACCAAGTACAGATGGCTCAACAGCTAAGATAATTTCTAGCCCGAACAGTTTTGTCCTTCCTTGCCTGGTGTCCTTTAGAGACCTTCTAGAGCAGGGGTGTCAAACTGGCAGCCCATGGGCTAGATGCGTCATGTGTAGGCCACGCCCACCCCAGTTCCGCAATGGGAAAAAACACTGCAAACTCGTGATGCAGCAAGTTTGACACCTGTGTTCTAGAGGAATGAAGTTAGTGGCAGGACTATTACCACTTTATTTTGCAGTGCAATAAAACTTGAGGAGTAAAAGAAAGGAATAAAAGAGGCAAATGATCCTGCCTAGCATCAGTAAAATTATAGACTGCGTGTGGAGCAAGTGGATTGGAGGTAAATCTGTCAAGAAAAGGTACTCAGCCTGAGGGACCACAACTTGGCAATGTCGTGCCTAGCAACATGTACCACTCTATTTTACTTTCTGAAATGTTGACAAATGTACAGGATTAGCACAACCTGGCTATCCAAAGACACCTATAATCTGAAATGCTTTCTTGGTCTTCCTAACCCTGGAATTATTACTTTTACTAATCTACTACTACATAGACATTTCTCATCAAACTCTTAAGTTTTAGAGGAAAAAAAATAACATATATATGGAATAGGAGATAGATAATTTTGGTTAGACAATAATACATCACAACAAAAAGGCCCAGAAAGATATTGCTATGTTTGCTCATTTCTATGTTTGTTTTAAAACTATGGTTTGTATAATATCATTTTAAAATCCTGGTTTGCTGAATAAGAAGCAGCTGGATTTATATGACAACAACCAAATTACAGCAGCAGCTACTGAATTTACACATGGCATTAGTCAAAACTACACATCATGCCGTGTGAATCCATGTACTGGGCTACCTGCTTCTTCTCAATGTCAGTTGGCTTGTAAGAATTTGCCAGACTGTGATAGTATGTCCTCTGTTGCTTTATTAGAAATACTATGCTGGATTTACCAACATGTCAATGAGAAAGTAGTTTAAAAATGAAACAAAGCAGAATTTGAAATGCTCTTCCTGTCGCTCCCATGTTTCAGCTATATGCTTCAAAATTTATGTTGACTCCTCCAGCCCTACAGCTTCACGTTTTTCCCAGCAATACTTAATAAGCTCTTTGAATACAAAAAAGCTACCCTCTTTAAGCTGAGAACATAAAAAGAATGGAACAATATCTCAGTTAGGAGGCTCCATATGTTCATGGTAAAATATACTACCTAAAAGAAGAAATACAATTAGAATTGCTCTAAGTAGAATTTTGTTAGGTGTCTAGGTAATCCTCCACTTATTCCCCAATTATTTTGTTTGTTAGGTCGCAAAAGGTGATCACATGACCCAGGGACACTGCAACTGTCATAAATATGACCCAATTGACCAGCATCTGAATTTTGATCATGTGACACTACACGAGGATACTGCTATGATCTTAAGTGTGAAAAATGGTCATATGTCACTTTTTTAAAGTGCCATTATAACTTTGAACAGTCAAAGGTTGTAAATTGAGGACGACCTGTATAATATTTCAACAGCAACCAAAGAACAGATGGTAAAACATTTTTGTGGGCACGTGCAATTGAAAAACTATGTTAAAGCACAGCCACAGTTTCCCAGCCATAGCCACGATAGGACCATGGGCTGCTATTTGTGGCTCTTATGACTACCAATACAGAAGCTTCTGAAAACATTAAGAAAAAAAAATCACACATGTTATTTAATTATTGGAAAGCAGCTTATTAAACAGGCAGACCAATTCCATGCTAACATTGTATATTGAAAGGAAATGTCAGAGAGATCCTGTTTTCAATGCACCTAAAATCTGGGATTCCCTAGTTGATTAGCATGGCCTCTTAACAGAATAACAGAATTAAAAGGGACTTTGGAAGTCTTCTACTTATAAGAATTCTAGTCTTATATCTATAATGAAATTGGGGTCTTCACAGCACATGTCTGTTAGGCTGCCATCATTTTAGTGGGTAGGTGAGAGAGTTCCCTTCCAATCTTTTGAAACTTCAGCAGCCTTGAACTTTTCAATGTCACTGCTCTGATATTGGAAAAGGCAGGGCAGAAATTGATGGTCATGACAAGCTTTTAGATATCCTTGCTCCTCAATGTTTCCCCTTCCTATCATGTCTTCTAATTAAGTCCTGGATTAAACACAAATATGACACTGTACATACATGAAGATTATATTTATAGCCAAAACTGATTTGTTTTGCTTTCCATTTTTGGTCTTGTATGGAGTTTTTGGAAAAGAGGAATTTTAGTTTGTTGTGAATATTTTAATTTCCAACATTTGTGCATTTTGTTTTTGATGATCTGATACATTTAACTTGATCTGATGAGTTCTTATATTGTTTTAGGAATAGCCATCTTGGATTGGCCTCTTATCAGATATCTAAAATATTAAATATTCAGAATACAAAATCTATACAACTACCTATGCACGGAAATGTAGTTTTCAAAATATCTAGTGAGCTGCTTTAAAAACATAACAAAACACAGACTACTTAGCTTACTTAACTACTGACAAGAAGCTTAACTACTTAACTACTGACAAGAAGCTGTTCAATGTTTGGATCATGAGTCTCCAGCCTGCCATGAAAACTGATTGTGGGACTTTACCCATGCAAAGTATGAACAGTGCCATGTATTTCTCTTCTTGCTGCTTCAATAAAGTTGACTCAGTCCCTAAATCTAAAGATTTTTGCATCATCAGAACCACAAAATAGTCATATCCTCTTACATAAAAAGTATATTTATATGTTCTCTAATAACCACTGTATGGACAAATTGAACTCAACAGTTGGAGCAGGCAATGGGGAGCACTTCATACAATATAGTGGGCTGACTGTCCATAAGGAAGGCTAGCTGATTTCAGTTGAATGTCCACATTATTACAAACATTTTTTGAAAAACATTTCTTCCTGATGAAGAAGATTGATTAATGACAATCTCAGAGTTTAACCAGCCTAACAAATCTGTCACCATTATATTCTATCTTTCAGTGCCTTTACATCAAGCATCGCACAGGACACAATGCTGCATGCTAAAAAAGTAACAACTTATTGTGAATAGATTGTGAACTAACATTATTCAGGTATCACTGAATAATTTTCTTTGAATTATAACAAGCCATTTTTTTAGTATGTCTCCAGCAGTCCATTGAAGAAACATAAATGTAGATACTCACATATACATTGGTTGTAGCTGTAAATGTGATGTCTTCTGTGGGCCTTGATAGCCGTAAGAGTCAAATCCACCTATGAAATCAACTGAAAAAGGAAGGTATTTCTTTAATTGTTGACATCATTCTTTGAAGGGCTAAGTATCATGACTTTAAAACAGCTTTACACAAAGACTATATTGGCCAGCAGCTTTTCTTCCTGCTTTCAGGAAAGTGCCAGTCACAGATTTATTAGTATCTATCTGTATAATAAAAAGAATTATACATTGCTTCTACTGGCAGCAAGCAGTCCACCTAGGTTAGGGGTGTCAAACTCGTGGCCCACAAGCTGGATGCATCACATGCTGGCCACCCCCACCCCCAGTTTAGTGAAGGGGAAAAAAGTTGTGATATGTCACGTGATAATGTGTCATAGTGAGTTTGACACCCCTGACCTAGGTGGTGTGCATAAATTGCTCATTTGTTGAAGCTGCAAGCAATGCAAAACCATTCCCTTGCGATTTCCAAATGTTTTAGCTAGCTGTGATTATAGGTATTATATATTTGATGTCACATTGTGATTCTCTGAAAAAGAAATGCAAGAAAATGGACAATGCTTTTGAAAAAAATAAAAGGCTTCAGCATGGGAGAAAATGAGGGAGAAACAGAAAGAGAAAGAAAGAAAAAGCAATCATGATTGTGTCATCCATGGGGGGAAAAGCCAAAATCCACAATGAGATGAGAAACCTATTAGCACCATCAACAAAAAATTGACATAAAAAGCATGTTGGTTTTGATTTCTCTAAAACTTTTAAACAGGCAAGGTATTACCAAAAATAAGAGATAGGGAATAGGGAAAAGCAAAAAAAGAAAAAAGTCCATAGATTTAGGCTATAAGGTCAGTAGAATAAAATCAGCCCCAAAACATAAGAGCGGGTTGACTATGTTGATATCACATAAACAATTTTCACATAAAATAATTATTTTTCTCACTTCTAAAAATATATGTATTTAGTTCAGACTATTTCTTATCGGCAATGCCTTGGCCTGGCATCAAGAAATGTTGATCAATATTAAAGACTGTGTAGACCATTGGTGTCAAATTTGCGGCATCACGTTGCTGTCACATAACGTTTTGCAACATTTTTACCATTCGTGGAGCTGGAGCAGGTATGGCCTGTGCGTGACACATCTGGCCTGCGGGCTGCCAGTTTGACACCCCTAGAAGACTGAATATGGGAAACCTCTGGTCCTTCAGATGTAGTTGAACTTCAATTCCCAGAATTCTTATATGTTGGCCAAATACCATAAGGAATTGAGAGCCCAGTTTGTGAAGGAGATTACAAGAAGGCATGTCTAATCTTATATTTTCTTTGACCCAACAAGTAAACACATTTTGTATAATAACTGAATAACCCTGTTAAATTGCAATTTTCTGTTACAAATTATTTTAATATTTATTGTAACAATAAAATCACTATTATGCTAAGTTTGCACTACAATCACTTCTCTTAGCTTGGTGGTGATTGTGCTAATTATAGCACAGGACCATAGAATTGTGTCCAATATCCATAAGCTATATTGTAGTACCACGTACTCAGTCCTGTCAGTCCAGCCAGAAATAAATTTTTATTTTGACATCTTGAACATTTTGCCAACTGTTGTTCTTTCTACTAGGTGTTTTAGCATGGAAGTGCCTAAAAAGCTACAAAAAGTTACATCAGTTCCTTTCTAACAGATATAAAATAAATACCAACAGATGCTCTAACTCCTAAACTGATTTATCAAAAGTGCTTTAGAACTTTGCTTTGTATCTTGAAAAATAATAATCCAATATCACCACTAATTAAGCTTATTTCAGAAAAAAGCATAAAAGTGCTAAGATATCTTCTCACTGATATAAAACATCAAAGGCTTAGAAATACTTTTAAAAGAGGGAATTATGTTAAATCTCATGAAGCCCCAAAATCTATATGCTTATCTGGAAGTAAGCTTGATTGATGATTTCACTGAGGCTTTAGTTCTCTTTACACTAGAATGCAGTATATATTAATCAGGAAATAGAAGATTCAAGCATGCTAGTATCTGGATATATAAATTGCTAACTACATTTCACATGCAAAAGGTGATGCATGAACATAATATAATCATTTTCTTACAGTTCCCCTAGATTTTCCTAGCACTGCTTCATTCTTTTTTTGAATCATAAAACCATAATTATAAAGGGAAATGGAGAATAGCATGTAATCACTACTTTTGCTCAGCCTCTGGATGAGCTTACAGAGAGAGTAGGCATCCTGCTTTGGGGAATGTTGTGTTGGAAATAAAAAATAATTTCTTTCTCTTACAGAGACTTACTTCCAGGGGTGGGCTGCTGGGGGTTCACAGGGCTTTGGGAGAGCCCCTATCTAAGATTCTGTGCAGTTTGGAGAACCCCCAAATCCCATCCCTTGCTGGCCCTGCCCACCCCGCTCCTCCTGAGTTCCCATGTGGCCCATTTTGAATGTAGGTAAGTGCAGGGGCTTGGGGAGGGTGAAAAACAGGTATCCTGGAAGTTCGGGAAGGCTGGATCATTTCCAGCCTCCAGAGATTCTCCGGAGTCCACCCAGCAACCGGGCAGAGAACGCTTTGCTAAGATTTTTGAAGCCCATCCATCTATTAAGCATTCTCAAGCATAGTCCTGAGCTGGTGAACTTGTTTGGAACTTTGAAAACATGAGCGGTCTCTCACAAAATGGCTGCTTTCAGGACACATGTGCACAGAATGGCAGCCATAGCAATATAAACAAAGGTCTGATTTAGGATGATGCTACTTGTCAGTAGCATCACCTTTTCTGCAGGCTGCTCTAAATTGTCTCAGCTTACCTTTCTTCTTTTCCTAGTCTGGTGAACATATTTCTAAGCAAAGAATTGGGATATAGCCATCCATCTCTTAAAATTTTTCAAATAAAATAAAATAAAATAAAATAAATCTTTCAAATAAAGATGATACTAAAAACTAACAGTTTGCTTTTCCATATAAAATTACAAGAATGTTTAAAATGTATGTGTGTGTGTGTAAAAACCATGTGTAGAGATCTAGTAGTGCCAAAGAAAATGCTCACTAGACATTGGCACTTCTGGGTATCACATAAGCAGTTTTATGTCCTTTAACTACCCAGAGTTACAGTGAGTTGGGCAGCATAAGAGCTATGGTAGTGCAGTGGTTAGAACACAATGCTTCAGACTACATCTGCTGACTGCCAGCTGCCAGCAAGTTTGGCAGTTAAATTCCCACCAGGCTCAAAGTTGACTCAGCCTTCCATCCTTCCGAGGTCAGTAAAATGAGGACCCAGATTGTTGGGAGCAATATGCTGACTCTGCAAACTGCTTAAAGAGGGCTTTAAAGCACTGTGAAGCGGTATATAAGTCTAAGTGCTAGTGTTATTGCTATAACAACAAAAATACTACTACTACTATCCCCATTCTAAATTATGTGTGTATTAATTTAGCAGCTTACTAAAGCATCTAGATAATTTGAAGCATCTTTGATGCTTAGCAGTAACATTAAATTTTACACTTGGCTAGCAATTAACTATACAATTTTACTTCATAACTTGATTTTAAAAAAATGTATCTGAAATTCCAGAGGAATAGAATTATGCAAGAAAGGCATTAGATTTAAAACATTTAGAGCTAATATAAGTAGTCCTCACTTAATAATCATAGTGGGGACTAACATTCTGCCACTAGGTGACATGGACATTAAGTGAAACATCATGTGAGCTCACCTATGACATCAGTTCCATTACTGTCATTAAGTGAATCACCTACAAACATTAAGCATATCACATGATCTTGGCTTACAACATACTGCCACCTTTCCATTGAGTGGTAAAAGTTGTGTCATGCTGCTGTTGGAATCTGATTCTGAAGGGGAGGCCAAGCAGCTGACAGGGAGTAGGAGTGTGGCTCCATTGGCTCTGGAAGAAACTGGGGAAGGGCACAGTCTGGCTGGGCAGAGCAGGGAAGAGGTAGAGCAAGGCAGAGGGAATTCAGAGGAAGATCCAGGCCCACCCCCTCTTCATCCTAGGGCATGCAGGGAAGAACGGAGAAGGGAGCAATGTGAGTTGTGTGGCTTATGGAGGAGGAAAGGGCCCTGATTCCCTTCATTAGCTGCAGCTGGGAACACAGTGTTTAAAAAGAAAAGCTATGCATAGCAACTTTTTGGAAGCAAATCATGAGTTATCTTTTATTATCGAGGCTTATCTGGGTTCCTGGCATCTTCCCAACTGTGTGTGTTTTGTTGGCCTTTGAAGTCTGCAATTCCTTATCCTGCCCTGTCCAGTTAATTTCTGCAGCATGGTTTGTGTCGATTATTATTTACAGTTTATATATACTTTGTTTTCGGACTGAATTTCCTCCACTTAAGGACTGTTTTGGGAGAGTTTTTTCTTCAGCTGAAGGTAACTGGACATTTGAGGCAAAGTTGGAGATATTAAAGAGACTTTTCTTACTTATGTGACTGTGTTGCCTTTGTGCCATGCCCTGGGTCATCACAAACTGGTTGTAAAGCTCATAATCGCATGATTGTGGGACACTGCAATGCTTGTAAGGACCAGACATAAAGCTACTTTTCCAGTGTGGCCCTAAGTCTGAATAGTCATCACAGATCAGTTGTTAACCAATGTCTGCCTGTAATTCTTAGGAGGGATGTGAACAACCTTTCAAAATGGTACTTTGAAACATGTACGAAATTCAACCTCTGCTCGGATTACTAAAGCAGCCACACATTTTTCCAGGCTTGCACAGTTCCTTCAGAGGCTTCTTCCAGATGTCTCTGCATACTTATGTGACAAAGGGACTGTGTATGTCAATGCATATATACCCGTGTTTCCCTGAAAATAAGACCGGGTCTTATATTAATTTTTGTTCCAAAAGATGTGTTAGGGCTTATTTTCCAGTTAGGTCTTATGGTATTAAATGTGTCTGACTGGCTGACAATCTCAACTGGGGCTGACAATCTTAACTTATTTTGGTGGTAAGGCTTATATTACGAGCATCCTAAAAAATCATGCTAGGGCTTATTTTCCAGTTGGATCTTATTTTTGGGGAAACAGGGTACTTGCAG